GGTTTCTCACACATACGTTACGCGTCCACCTCTCGTGCAAAGTCTGCGCTGACGTCGTCCGACGTCGTTCACGTCGGACGACGTGAACGACGTCGTCCAATAGCCAAGCTTTGTCCTTGTGCGGGTTGATTCTCGGTCTAAGCGTTTCGCCCCTTCGCTCCTGCACGGCCACGCGCTGGCCCTTTATAATTATCACTGCGGATTTTACGAGGCAGATCAGCTTTTTATTTTACTTCAGCTTAGAGGTGAATGTCTATGGTCAAAGCAGCTTCGTTTGTGAAATCCGATGGATGCTTCATGAAGTATGGGGTCTGTTAGGTCAAATTTACCCGTGTTTTTAATTAGATTTTTAGAATTTTTATAGAATATTTATAGAATTTTACGGACGTAGGAGCAGGTACATAGTTATTCCTCACTTTATGCAACCGGATCGGAGGTAAAAGCTTGAGAAGTTACTCCCTACTTCAAATTGTACGCATTTATTTACGAAACTGCTTTCCGATCGTGCATGAACTCCCTGAAAATACAAGTTTTCCACTGGGGAGGGGATTTCGCGTCATTTCAGTCACTGGTGGGGATGCCCCTTCCGGTTAAAGCATTCCACGACAAATAGACAAGACAGGTCGAACGGTTCATTTTCCACCATCATCTCTCGGATTTTGACCATAATGGGCCACAGTGGCTGCCTGCGGCGTTGAAAACGCCTGCGGTATTTTCATGTCTCTCAGTTGGGGCGGCTTCGGAGCTACAGCCTACTGCAATTGTCGTGTTCTTTGTTTGAAAGGCTAAGTTTGGCGGCCATTGTTTCACTACGATGAAAGAAAAAGCGCGTAAAGTTTGATGTCAAAATGATGCAACAGTTTTTCCAGAGTACGTGTATGTCGTGATTGGAATTATTATTCCACAAAAAACATTGATTGTCGCACTATGAGCATTTGCAACGCATGCAGAGCCATTTTCCCACGCGATTTTGAGCCTTTTCTCATTTGCATGTCAAAGAGCAGGGTTAGTACCCCATAATCCAAAAATAAACGTGGTTATCGCCTTGGAAAGATTTGGAAAAAATGTCACGATTTCCATGCCCCAGTTTCCAAAATTTGACCATGTCACAATACGGGATCATCATTCGCGACCTCATTTCATTATTTTTTATTTCATTTCATCATTCGGGACCTCATTCGCGCCATCCGTCGCCGGCTATCGACGCTGTATCTCTCACGCATCTCTCCGCAGAGGCGGCGGAAAATGAGCGCATTACGAGAAAAAGCTAAGATTACCAACACGATGGCTCGCATGCACGTGGGAGGCGACTCAGTGCGCCAGTCACTCAGTCTAACTCACTCTAATTCATCCGTACTCTCCAAATCAAGCGGCCGCTACTTTCCTCCCAACGCCTGAGTCTAACGCAAGGACAGGAACAATCTGAGCACTTACTGTGATTCCTTCGTAAATCAGCAGCGTCTCGTCGACAGCCTTGGCCGAAACCAAGCTGACGCCAAGCTAATCCTCTGTCCGAAGTACTTCTCCTTCAGGTACGAAGAAACATACCGCCCGCACATCAGCCTTGCCCTACTGGACCTGGCTGAGTTCTCTGCAGAGCGAGTATGATCGGAATGGAGGCGCCACAGGCTGGCACTGGCAGAAACACCTTCCAAGGTCCCCAACTCCGCCGCAAGAGTTCTCCCCATGGGACGCGGCGACGTATTACCAATTACACTTCATGACAAAGTCCTCCTCATGAAAGCAAATGTTCAAATAATTGAACCTGTTCTTGCACTGCGCAGCTGACGTATCTGAAAAGCAATACACTTTCCATATTTGAAACCACGCTTTCACTCCAGGTAAAAGGTATTGTAGAAACGTATGGACCGCAAAAGTGTTTTGTTCCATCGCGGCTGACAGCGCGCGATAACTTTTGCGTTCAATCTGTCCAGGTTCTGTTCAATGTACCTCCAAAGGATGCAGCGTGCATTGCAGGCGAATCTTGGTGAAACTGTTGAACTTCGACATAAACGACGAAAGGGTAACTTTCTGAAAAATATAGAAATATGAAAGTCATGATTTCTTGGGCGGTTGTTTTAAGGACCATCGAAAAATTTACCCTGGTGCCGGGCCGTTAAGTAGTGTTTGGTAAATGCAATTTTGGCTTTTGACAATTTGTTAGTTGACAGTGCATTAGCGAGGAACTTTATTCACACAGATAAGACACTAGTAATAGCCTTATTCCTCGGAGAAAAACCAGGAGAACTGGAGATGCAGTTGGGTTGAAATTTCGGCAGCATGCCTTTATCGGAAAGGGCAGAAATGAATTTAAAATTGTCTGCCGATGATCCTACTCGATTTTTCAGGTTTTTCAGTTTCTGCTATTGTCTCGATAAAGGCATGCTGCCGACATATCAACTCAACTTTATCTCCCCTTTCCCGAGTTTTCTCCGAGGAATAAGGCTATTACTGCTGTCTTATCTTTTGAAAGTTTCGGTCAAAAACTCATCCATTGGTAGGCTAAGTTCAGATTAAGTACAGCGAGCTGTGCTCACGCACTGTGTAATCTGATTTTATTGATTGAACCCAAAATTTCCTCTGCTTACGCACTGATAGGTTTAGTCAAAAACCATCGCACACATCCTAAGCGTGGGCACTTCTCACACTCTCACACTTCTCACGCATCCTGGACTCATTATGTCCTCTTAAGTGGCATCTCGCAGGTCAAGATATTCCATTATCAGCTTTGCGTTATAGTGATAATAACACACGCAAACCGCATGCGTGCCGCTGCCACCGATCAGGACGCAGCGTTCGCGGGATAAGGCCTCATGTTTGCATGCAATTTTATCCTAGCAGGGTTCCAAGCATTCGTAGCATTTCTTACTCAAACATTTTGACCAATTAGTGTGTTAGAAACATCGCAGAGCGCACCCGGTAGGAAAAGCAAAGCAAATGAAACACTTTCATGGTTGTGAGCAGGGAGTCCAATGAGATTTGTCACGCAGCAGCGGCTACTTCAAATCAAAATTCTAAGCTGTTCAGGATTTCGAGAAAACTGGCATTACCAATAAAATAGGGCGTGTCTGATCTGAATAAGTGGGTACAAAAAAGGTCGCATCCTTCCTTTAAACCTCGCTGTGCTCTCGTTTTGTGCTTCCCAAATGGAATGGCAAAGCGGGGTTGTTGACCGTTTTACCGTTGTAAGACACTGTCAATACACCCACGCGCTCCACCCGCACAACAGGCACTGATCCAAGGCTCTATCACTGGGCATTTGTCCGACTGAGTCGCCCCCACATGAACAAGAGGCCACACTACCTTCGCAGTACGCAGTCATCCCCTCCCCCGCTCCAGTTACCCCGGCTGAGACAGTACACATGAGGGATGGGAAGATAGGGGGGGGGGGGGGGGGCAGACGGCTGCGGCGGCGCGCCGCGCGCTCAGTCTTCGTGCACTACACATAATTCATCTGTGCATGGACTTTGTCTTTCCAAGCAAGATAGCCAACCTTGGCATATCAGAATTCGGGTAACAAACCACGCTCTTATACACGCTGACGAAAACATATCTGTATCACATCGAAATGTTGTGCTTCGTGCCCTGGGTATTGTTGATCGTGCAATAAAGATTTCAGGAGTGGCGTGCAAATACTCGGACAGTCTTCTGATTATTTTAACATATATGCCTGCCAAATCATATTTCAAGCAAGCGAAAGAAGTTGCCACCGAAGATACTTTGCAATTACAAAACTCGAAACCGCCGAAGGCCATAACTCGGAAACGGTGCAACTGATAGATTTAAAAAACGCTACCAGTGACTTCAGCACTGATGGCAACTTCAATAAAACAAATTTCATCAAAATCCGAGGGTTGAGGTGTAAGGCACTTGCCGATTTGTCGTGGAATGTCCCAGTTTAGGTGTTAAAACAGACCTGGTTTATCTGGAATACGAACGGACCCTAAGCCTAAGCCCTAAGCCTGTTTTACGCGTGACAAAGCGCATGCCAACCATAAGATGCCAGAACGTCATACACCCACACAGCGTCATTGCAGCACAAAACCAAATTACGCTTCGTCTTCGTTCTTATAGAGTGAGAAAATCAGCACAGATCTTCAGGCAAGACATCATGTTCACCATGTTTTGTGGACATACTTAGCTGTCGAACGTTATCATTACGTCGTTAAATATTCCAGCTTATCGAAGCGAACACACCGGCCAGTGAAAAATGATGCACCAAGAGTCAATTCCGGATACCGTCGAGTTTGGGCGGTGAGCATCGCCAAACCGCTATGTTGCATAAGGATGCTGGAGTATCCCTTTAGCCTGCCGCTGGTTAATGAGTCAGTGTTCGTCATAATCAGCTTACTTCAGTGAAAGGTGACATGTAGCTGACGGTGACCTTGGGCTTTAAGCGTTGCAAGGCCTGACCTACATTAGCTATTTACCTGCGGTTTGAGTGAACTCTACAGCTTCCAACTCTGAAGCTATCACCAGTCACATGATGGGAATGGCCGCACATTCTGCTAGCTTACAGTGACGCGAGTTCGCCTTTTCCTATATCCGCTTTGATACGAGGCTACATTGCCCGTTATGATCAATATAAACACGATGGTACAGTTAGAGCTCCGCTAGTATATTTGCGACATGAAAATTGGCACGGGTCAAACCTGTAATGGGCCAGAAGCAGAATTAATCTCTTTTTGTCACGATAAAAAATTGGACCTTATATGATCTCATGATCTTATATGATCTCATTGGGGCTCAAGGCCCGGGCTTACGGGCCCATCGCAGATTACGTGTAATGAGTTGGTGATTCACTTTCGGCACCAAGTGCAGGGAAGATCCTGCACACGCCGCTGTAAAAAGCACGCTAACAGCCGACGGCGGCGCCGTGTTCACCGGCCGCGGCTGCTGCGGGACGCCGCGGCGGGCTCAGCGTGTAATCCGCAGCGGCCAGCGAGAGAGAGCGAGCGGCCGAGGGCCGTGGCGGGCCGGACTGGGCCGGACTGGGCCGGACTGGGCAGGCCAGTGTGCATCACCGGCCCTCCTGGGGCGCTCCATCTTCAGGAGTCGCCCGATAACCGCACAAGGGGTGCACTGTCCGCGTCGGGAGCACGCCACGTGCCACCGCCAGAGGCGTGCCGACCACTGCCTGCGTCGTCGGGACACGCCCGCATCCCACCGGCACAATGACGGTCTTGAGCGGCGTCCTTTGGCTGCTGCTGCTTTCTTCAGTGGCATCGGCCACTCCGTTCAGCAATTGTGGTAAGTGGGCAAGTGCCGCATGGGTATGGTTCGGAAATGGTACGTGCTGTTGCGTGAAATGACTGTAATTTGACTCAGAGCTGAGCATCGAAAGATTGCATTCCGCTGTGATGACTATTGAATGTAGCAATTGAATGACTATTGAATGTAACAGCTGAACGACTATTGAATGTAACTTATTGAATGTTTCGTAAATACAATGACCCATCGTGGTCAGGCATGCACTGCGCATCATGCGATGTCGATTGTGGCGCTACACTAAGTGCTGGGCTCAGCGGTGCCAGTCAATTTAACATGACAGACTACCATTTTTTTTGCGTTCCGTCAGAGACGTTTTTGGACAATGTGTGGAAGGAAAGTAAGTACCGCTAGCCGTCACAGCCGCAGGTTTGTATCCGTGGGAAGGTTCAAGACGTTGGAAAGCTGGCATATGGGCATACTGTAGTCCCAGCTTGCGTTAACTGCCGCGGAAAACGACGGTTCTGCGAGACTCGCGGCAAGTGGGCGCTCCTGAGACGCGACGAGTACGGAACGTGGGCGGGATAACGTACCAAAAAGTGAAAAGGCCACGCTCTCGTGGATTATTTTCCGCACCAGCATAAGGTTAATCTTTAAGCTGTGACGACAGATGACGACGGTAATGCCTCTCGCCCGGCTCATGCGTCATCTCATGTAGAATCGGGTCAGCGCAATGTCCGCTGCCGTCATGGGGATTTTCGTGACTGCTTACCGTGGCCTTGACCTGGGAGGTGCGCCACAAATCCCACAGCTGTAAAACCTTTCAAGGCTATCTCGCAGCTCGAGGAAATCGAGAGGAGTGTCAGGGCTTGTACGGCAAGGTTTACTAAGTTACATTATTATTCAGCACAGCCCGACCAAGGAACCGTTGTAAGCACAACAGGTGGAGGAATGACGGTAGTACTTCAGTATTTGTAGACATTATTAGACTTAATACTACTTTCCAGTGCTGGTGTAAATACTGGTATAGATACCTTTTGCTATCAAAGCAGTAAGCAAGATCAACTGTAGAGATTTGCAATGGGGACACAACTCCCAAGTTTGCACAGAAAACTCAGAGTTGCGCGCAGAAGGATCGTAGCATTTCTCTCATGACGTACAACAGCCTCGGATGTTGGGGATATGTTTTGTTTCACGTTTCTGTCTCAAACTTTTAATTGTCAATACGCCATTGCGAACACATTAAAGCATGCCAGCACTATGATAGGGGAGGGCCACGTGACCCGTGGCCAATACATGGATACGCCCCCTGTGGCAAGCCCCACCGGAACTTATTACTTTGACAGTAGCACGCTCCGGTGGGTATATGCCAGGTTTGCCTTAGGCCTCCACGTCACCTCGACTATTATCCGGCACGCTACTTCCACTTGTATGCTGACCGCTCGTTTTGTTTGTTCAGGGTTCACGGGCGCTCTGCTGGATGTCAAGGTGGGCGACTGCGACCATCTGCCTTGCGTTATCAAGAGGGGCTCGACGGTGCCCATGCAGGTGCGCTTCAAGGCAGGTGAGTCATCGGAGCACGTGCCGTGCCGCACTTCGTCGTCGTGTCACCCGTCATTTGCATCGCATCACTGTCATATACATATGTTATTGCGAGATCCCATCCCGACAGCGACCGCTGGAACTCTGGCCAGATCTCTGGTTAATTGAATGTGCAGTGTGACTAGCATTGCAGGAGCATTGGACATAAATTATGACGCGATATTTGGAGACACGCTGCGGGAAGCAAAATCGGAACACTGCAGCATAACATAACGCTGGTCAGTAAAAGACACAACTGCTGCAGATTCATCACGTAAAAACGCTCAAAAAAGCTGGCAAACAGTTCTCCATGGCCCTCATTCATGGCGTTGAGCATACCCTGTGCATAATCTGCCGCAATCACTGGAAATCTCGCTTGTAAAATGTGTGTTCCAGTTCAGGAGATTGTCAGCATGAAATCAATGATATTTGGCCTTCTCGACAACATCCCAATACCACTGGATTACGATAATCAGGTAAGATGTCTGTTCAGGAGACCAAGGAGGTTGGAAGAGTTGAATAATGAGATGTTTTTTACCTATTCCACTTCCATTTATAAAACACTTCACAACACACGCACGCATTACACGCCCACACGTACACCCGCGAGCGCGCGCAGCGCGCACACACACACCACACACACACACACACACACACACACACACATCCACACAGAGATTATATATATATATATATATATATATATATATATATATATATATATAATATATATATATACTTCTCTCTCTCTCTCTCTCTCTTCTCTCTCTCTCTTCTCTCTCTCTCTCTCCTCTCTCTATCTCTCTCTCTCTCTCTCTCTCTCTCTCTCTCTCTCTCATGCATGCATTTATTGGCATAGGGACTTTGCCGCCATCGCCAATGGACGTAATCCCGGCTGGAGGTCCGTATGTTTAGGCCTTGGTTACGACAAAGGACCACAGACAGCAGCCTCGGCAGTCTACACGGCATCACTTTGCCAATCCATCCTGGAGCGAGTGCTGCAGATGGGCCGACGCCTCCCTGTCCGCAGATGTGCAGCCAGATGCTCGCCGGCCGCTGCCCAGCCAAGGCGGGCCAGGAGCTGACGTATGCCGTGGACCTGCCCGTCGCCGCCGACATGCCGGCCGTCGGTATCACGCTCGAGTGGCACATCACCGACCAGCACGACGCCACGGTCCTCTGCGCCCTGGTGCCGGCACAGTTCACCTGAACAGGGCAGGGCGGCGGCGGCCGTGGACCGCGGGACCTGGCCCGTCTCGGCCGGCGGAGAGCCGACGAGGTCGCGGAGGACGTGAGGGTGCAAGATGAACAGCAAAGGGACGCTAGACGTGCTCGGCGGGCAGTGAGCTTGCTTGCGATCGGCGTCCGTGGGATCTTGTGCTGTCCGCATTTGATTTACCGGTTTATGGGTGCGTGATCACCAAGAAGCAGTGTTCAATAACAGAACACAGAAGGTAAACGCCACACGGATCTACACATGTGAGCGATGGGCGCAAAATGACCCTAGACGTCGACGCGCCCTAAAACCCCAATCACAACATGTGAGCGAAAATGTGGTGCGCGTTATCCACGAAGGTACACAATAAAAAGATCAGAAAATCTCAGCGTTGCTAGTTGCTATACAATGAGCAGGCAACATTGTTGCTGTCCAGTTACACCATTGGCAACGACACAAGTTTTACGATAACGAGAAAGCGCTAAAACTGAAAACATCCGCTGTTGGAGATTGATGCAAAAAATTGTCTATTCGCGATGGAGGCGGTCAAAAAAGTTTGGGAGCGTTTTAGGGGCGAGTTTAAGAGCGTCTATGCGACCATAAGAATGAAGCAGTGAAAAAAGAAGGAAAAGTGGCACGCACAGGTCTGTGGAGCAAAAGCATAAAACCCGACTGAGGAATCAATGTCACTCCGGCGAACATTGCGAGGAAATGACAGGTCACACTGAGGATCCCTGGCTCCTGAAGGCAGTGGTATTGGCCCTACGGGGCCAGCCAGGTTTGCCAGTTGATATCCTGGCATTGAAGGCCAGTCTGCAATGGCGTCATCATGACAACAAGCCATCCGATTGTTCCATAACGGATTTGTAAAAAAATTGACCGCGGTTAATTTTGCACCACAAATTTCGTACGCCTAAATTGGGTCAATGCGAAGCCCCACGACCGGCTGTGGAATGCTCCTAACGGATACAAGGCCTGGGATGACTGGCAAGGAAGTCATGACTTCCTGCAGCGAGTTGGGCATACAAGCGCCGACCCATCAATGCCCTCCCCCCCCCCTCCCCATCGGAGCCCCTAAGGAAGTCTTCGTATGTTGCTCAGAGGTATCACACAGCATGAACTTTTGCATGATTGTAGTATTCTAGCCCAACGGTTGTTCACGAAACAACGCAACCTCCTCGCCCAAGTGCCGACAGGGCGAGGCGAGGGCGAAGGGGCGGGCTGGCAGGGCGGGGCGAGGGCAGGGCGAGGTCAGGCGAGGGCGGGCAGGCGAGGGCGAGGGCGAGGCGAGGGCGAGGGCGAGGCGGGGCGAGGGCGAGGCGAGGGCGAGAGGCGAGGCGAGGGGGAGGGGGGGGGAGGGCGAGCGAGGGCGAGGGAGAGAGAGGGGAGGGGAGAGAGAGAAGAGACGAGAGAGAGGAAAGAGAGAGAGAGAGAAGAGAGGAGAGGAGCAGAGAGGAGAGAGAGAGAGAGGGGGAGGGACACAGAACGGGGAGACGAGTATGCTATACAAAATATAGACAAAATATAGCATCTGCCTCAGCGTTTGCTGATTGTTTTGCATCTTGCGGTAACCTGGGTGCGGTGCTCCAGAATAGCTGCAGAGCATTGATGGCACTGCAACCGGCTGAAGAGAAGAGGCACTACCTATTGCAAGTCAATATATGCATTGCTGCATGGTGCACCAACCGATGGAGTTGGCTTGCAAAGGCATACGGGGCTGGGCCTGGCCCAACCGAGAACGGGCTGGCTTGGGAATGTTACTTCGTCCGCGGTGTGGGAGGAACGCTGACGAGAGCCGTCGTACACAGGCAGGGAATACTAACTGGAACTACGATGACAAACCAGAGTGAGACGCGGTCTTATCACAAAATGGTGGGGCAAACAGATGAATAACGCATATCTATGGTCACTGTGCTTTGCTAGACAGAGCATCTGATTCAAAATACGACGTCGACGACAAAACCGCATTCCGCGGCTGGTAAAGAACGTACTTCACCCATGATATATATTGCTGTTAGTGCAAGCTCTACCGTTGGCCACATCACAACCTTTCTGCAGACAGAAGCAACATGACGATACCCTCCTCTAGGATCGCTCCCACATGACAGCGGCGCCCACCGCAGCCTGTTCATGCTACACACGTGGGCACGCGTCCGACAGCGACGGAACAGCGTTCGACTTGCTCATCGCCTGATTGTTCGTTGATTTCTGGCCACTCAGTTGAAATATCATATAAACTGGCTTGCTGCTGAAGGGGCCCCAACACCCATTCACACCCATCCAGAATAACGCGCCTCACATTTATATACCTTCCTCCTGTTAGCAGCGTGTAACAGCCCCGCCCAACGACGTCTCCGATAGTTTTTCATATCCCTATCACCCAGTCACATTCTACACACATTTCTTCACACCCGATGATTTCTCTTACAAATTGTACACGACTTTACCGCCGTAGCTTTTTAATCAAATTGGTCCTTCTTGCTGCCGGAGTTCCCAGCCCACACCTGTCCCCGTTATCGCTACTCCCACGCGATACCCTGTCCACGAGCGCTGGCGTGGTCGATTGTGGGGTTCCTGGGCGTCACCGTCCGAAGTACAGCCTCGATTCAGCGAAGAGCGCGCCACCGCCCGACAACAGCGCTCCCGCCCCTGTAGATCTGCCAGCGCTGACGCCTCCCCTGAATACCCTGACAACGGTCCACAATTTACAGCTGCGTTATGGCGGTGCTACAGCCGGGTCGACGGCACAATCGCCTCCGGCCGACACGCGGAGGCACACTAGACCCGCACGTGTCTGAGAGGCCTCCCGCCCGTGCAATGCCCAGCTCCAGCCGCCGGCGCCGACCTGCCCCCTCGAGCGGCGCCCCTCGCGGTCCGGCCCGAGCCGGCTGCGGCAGCTGCCAGTCGCCAGGCGCCCCGGTCCTCTCTCCGGGCTGCGTCGCCAGCGACCGGCCCGGGGAGGGACGGGGGGGGGGGGGGAGGGCGGGGCGGGCAGGGCGCCTGCCGTCTACTGGTCGCCGATGACCTCGAACGTAACGCCGCGATGGTTCAGCCGCTCGATCAGAGATGTCTCTGCGAACGCCGCGCCCGGCGCGTACACGCCACCGCTGAAACGAACGTGAACGTGCCTGGGTCAGCCAACACATCTCCGCACTGAAGCAGTCACCGGCTACGCATCGGTCCACCAGCCCACTACCGGGACCGGCACAGACGGCCGCTGACACTGGGTCAACCAAACATCACCGCAACGAAGCCAACACCGGCTGCGCATCGGCCCAACAGCCCACTACCGGGACCGGCACAGACGGCCGCTGACACTGGACCAACCACACACCATCAATACTGAAGCCGACAACGGCTGCGCATCGGCCCAACAGCCCACTACCAGGGCCAATACAAACCCACTGACACTGGGTCAACCAAACATCACCGCAACGAAGCCAACGCCGGCTGCGCATCGGACCACCAGCCCACTACCGGGACCGGCACAGACGGCCGCTGACACTGGGTCAACCAAACACACCATCAGTACTGAAGCCGACACCGGATGTACATCGCATGTCGCATGCATGTGCACCTTCAGCACTGAAACACACATGTTCATCCCCGACCGACTCAATACGAACGATGTGGGCACGCTATGCCCGAATCAGTATGAGTTCAGAGCTCTTATGCTGAGTTATCCACCCTCAGCACACCAGGAGGTACTGGTTAAACGAGTTATAGCGCATGGGTTGTTTTGACAGTGCTCGGTACAGCAATGACTACTGCCAGTATAACCAATGTTCGCACTGCAACGTCGTTGAAGCAGCACCTCCTGGCAAAGTGAGGACCAATAAGTCAGCATAAGACCCCTGCAAACAGCAGGATGATGGCGATGATTTGGGCTTTGGGGCGCGCCGACCACGTCGGTCATATGGCACCCAGCCGAAATAGCAGGAGCTGAAGGCCTTGCTTTCTCATATCATGTCCGCATCACTCCAAGTCAATGAAATGATCCGACCGCTACGCTGGAGCAAAATGACGAGCGCTCAAACCAAACGAATGCATGCAACTCTTTTCCAAAAGAGTCGTGCATTAAGCAGAGTGTGAACAACAATAATCACACAGAGTAGATAGGACGACATACACGCGGCTTCAGCGTTCTTGAGGAACCCTTCGCGACGCATGGTGAACGAGGTCAAGATATTACAATGGATGCAACTAAGCCGTAGCGTCCTTCTTCCTTTGGCATCGCTCTCGTTGCGTCTGTTTCAACGAGGCGGATGGACCGTTGCGACACCGGGATTGGTCAGTATTAACGGTCTAACCCCAATCTTGTGGTTTTCCCAGTCATGACAACCCTGTGGTTGACAGCCGCCGAGCTTTGGCGCAGCGTGAGTTACGGGACGACACAACCGCATACTCGTGTAAGGTGAGTCTAACGAAGACAGCGCACGGTAAGACGGGCGGTGACTCTGAGACCCCAAGACTACCTGAGGTCAGAAGCCCCAATGAGACAGAGTCAGGTCATGTCATGTCAGAGTCTGAGTCATGTCAGTCTGAGTCATGTCAGATCAGGGAGCTGCTGACGAGCGGCAGACAGGAGCATGGTGCGGGCCTCACCTGCCGGGCATCTTGCCAGGCTCCTTCAAGATGCTGAGGGCGCACTGTACCAGACAGATCGGCGTGGCCACGTATCCGCACTCCGGACCCGACACCTGTCGGCGACGGGCGGAGTTAGTAGTGGGATCCGACACCGCTGCGAGGCTCTGCTCCCCGCGGCTAATACTGCGAGCCGACCTCACTCGAGACCGTGTCGGTGTATCAGTTCCAACTGGCGTCCCGGGACATCGGGCCTCGCAACGGTCCCGAATAAGGCAGGATGACCGTCCCGTCCCCTCCCCCCGTCCAAGTTGGCATACAGATCAGCATGACGACGTGTTGGTGTCACACGAAGGAAAGTAGAAGCGACCTCCACGTGCTGAAGCTCCATGGATGGCATGCATTAAGGATACATTTCGGAATTGGACTCAACTGCATTGGACGCATTCCAAGGAACAGCAATCCAGATTTCAAGATTAGTACACTGATCGGTACAAACTGAATGGAGAACAGTAAGCAAACGTTGAATGTCAACTGAGAAACTGCTATGTGCCCACACGCGCTATATTTGGTGTTTTACGTCTAAGGTGATGGAAAGTGATCGACTGAATGGAACTAAACTGAGCTTATTTTTGTAATGATGGGTTATATTGGAGAGCCTAGTGACAGACGCCAATCCAATTAGTGGGCGGAGCTGGATTCGATCTGGCCGAACTGGGTCGGACGGGAGAGGGATAGCACGATACCTTAAGGGTCTGCCACGTACCCGGGCCACCATCGTCTGGTCGAACTGGGTCGGACGGGGGAGGGATAGCACGACGCCTGAAGGGTCTGCCACGTACCCGGGCCACCATCGTCTGGTCGGGCGGTGAGGTGTGCTGCTCGTCCTGCGGCCGCTTTTCCTTCCAGCCCTGCGCCACGAACGTCATGGAGAACGACGTCTCGGCCATCTGCTGGCGCGTCGGCCCGTCGTGGTTGACGGCGCCCAGCGTGAAGAAGCGCGGAAACTGGCGGCCAGAGCGGGCACGATCACCGCCACGGCCGTCACGGTCGTCACGCAGCGGCACGCAGCGGCACGCGTGCGCGGCGCTGGTCCCCATCAGCAGCGCTGAATGCGAACTGCTGCGCGTGTGACGAACTTGCACTACCCGTGCGCCTACAGGTATGCCTCCGCAATTCATGCGCCGTGACTGTTCCTCCACTCCGCCAGTATTTCTCATCCAGCGACCACACGGACATTACGATTAAACCTTAGGCATGTAATTCGCAGTGCTGCGAAACGTTTTACCGGGCAAATTTCCTGTGAAATGTTTCCTGAGCCATGTTGCGTCACGTTAACTCTTCACGACGGTCAAAGACACTCAGAGGGCGCCCCGAGTGCCGTGGCAAAATGGAATTCACTGCTAAGATATGTATACATACTTAGACCATATATACATAGCACGCAGTGCACATATGTAATGGTATTAACAAATATTGACAGGACCAACAGGGGATGCTTATTCGCTCAGTGGTGCGATATACTGGCGGTAATCGCGGTGTGAAGACCCACTGACGTATGATACGCCGGTGGGTCCCCTCCAGCGGCGGGTTGTTTTTTGCCGGTTTTTGCTGTGCGGGACTCGCTGCGGCAGCAAATACCTTGTTAGGATACACTGAGGCCATCGCGACTCATGTTGGGTGTACATGATCGGGATGTACAGGCGTCCCGACACATATTACCCGGTAATGAATGAACGCATTTGCCGTGCGATGCTACATAACAGGGGGGGGGGGGGGGGGGGGGGGAGGGATACGGCGGGGAAGGGGCGGTTCGTTACCTTTTCCAGCAGGGTGCGTCCGAACTTGGTGCTGGCCATCAGTCCGAACACCGCCAGCAGGACGGTGATAGACACGGTCCTCAACCAGCCGCCTGGCAAAGACACGGTGTGTCAACGGCACGGCACGGCACGGCACGGCATGGGACGGAACGGAGGCACCGCTAATATGGACATGACCAAAGCTCAGATCCACAGGCAGGCCTGCGGGCTATTTGGCTTTCAATCAAATATTGAGCGTTACTGATTGTCTAAAACGCCTTCAACAAAGCCACTGCAATCCCTAGTGGAGGCACAGAAGAGCACGTCCTCATATTGGTGTTTCGTCTCTTTCGCCAGGCGCCACCAAAAGCAAGTACGGTCACCGTCACCGTCAAGCAACGGTCACCGTCACCGTCAAGCAAGCAGGTGGCACGGTCACCGCGCGGATGATTTGACTGGACTGACATACCGTATTGGACACATACGAGAACGAGGGCCTTCCCCTTCGTGTTGAAAACACCGAGGTGACGCGAGAACGTTCGAAGTTCCGGAGTTTCGGAGTTTTCGGAGTTCGAAGTTTCGAAGCACCTTTGTAGATGAAGTTGAAATACAACCGTCCGCGCAGCTTTTTCATTATATTTCAAGCATTGGTCTTGAGGTTATTCACACATTTTACATGCCAGCGAATCTGTTGTACTTCGATAAGAGCTGGAGGCTGACTCTTGCTGCCAGACAAGCCGTATATCGTCAGGAAACTGGTTGACGTTGGTACTGAACTCCTGCACCTGACCTGCCTGACTTCTTCACACCCGAGACCAATATTGCTTTCAGTCTCTCACACATGTCTTTGGCTGTCGGCGCTCGAGTGTGGAGCTCAACACTAGGTCGCTGAAGAACACGCGGGACGACGCGTGTGTTTGGTCTATGGAGTCATGGACCCGTGCGGTACACGACATGGCGAGCGGCCGTACTCGGCGACCGAGCAGCGAGCGGCCGTGCCCGGCGACCACGTGTCGAGCGGCTGTGCTCGGTGACCGAGCGGCCGTGCCCGGCGACCGAGCGGCGAGCGGCCGTGCCCGGCGACCACGTGTCGGGCGGCCGTGCCCGGTGACCGAGCGGCAGTGCCCGGCGACCGCGCGGCGAGCGGCCGTGCTCGGCGACGACGTGTCGGGTGTCTGTGCTCGGTGACCGAGCGGCCGTGCCCGGTGACCGAGCGGCGAGCGATCGTGCCCGGCGACGACGTGTCGAGCGGCCGCCGCGCACCTCAACGGCTTGGGACCACCGAGAAGGAAGCAAGGTCCACGGTCGACCGACCTTGTATACATTGGCTTATCCGATCAGTAAAAAGGCACGTCTCCACCGGCAAAGCACTCCAGGTTATGTCTTATTGGCTGTCAACATAACGACGATAGAAGGGCTGCATCAGCACAGCAGAGCAGGGTCTGGTGTCTGTGTGTATATCTAAACCAGTCTGGCTGTCTCAAACGTGACTCAGGCTGATATCGCAAGACGACTTACCAAACTTGTGATAGCACGGCATTTTAACCGTATTTTGACTGTTTTTATCAGACTGCATTGGCGTCAGGCACACTTTTCCTCAGCCAGGACAGACATCAGCTTGCTAGGAACCGCTCTCGCCGGGGAGTTACGGAAAGTGACATCTTTAGACAAGAAGTGAAATCTTTAGACAAGAATTCATCACCCAGGCGTTTCCAAATGCTGAAAATGTGCTGATGTTACCAAAAAACCTACCAACGCCAATCAACTTGAAAGCTTATAAAGTCAGTTACGTCAAAAAAAGATAGCAGAACGAGAAGGTATTTTATGGTGTTTGGTGTGTTTTGCCGTGGCCGTGATGAACCAGAGCACATCAACTTAACAAGGAAAAATACGGCGTAGGCATATTTACAATTTATCTTACGCATGTCGAATGTTATTCTCATGTCTTTGCCGTCTGATCGTCTGGCAAATTTAAGTGCTGCAATCCAAGTGCAGTGTGGGTTCTAGCCTCCTTTCCCGGACTTGGCGCGGCTCCTACGAGCACCTAACGCTGTTGAGAACAAGGCCAGTCGTCTGTTCCCTCCACGTAACGCGTCAGGCAGCTAACACGAACACCTGGCACGGCGCAGTGCATAGTCACTGGACAAAGTGGATACGGGGCCCACAACGGTCGCCGAGAACGGCACTGACAACGGCCAGGTCGGCGAGCGGCAGAGCAGGGTCCCGGTGATGACGTTAGCGGAAAATTATAGATAGTGTGTCTCGCTGAGCCATTGTCGTACTACAGCGACCTCAAAGCGCCATACGGCAGACGTCTTTCGGCAAGCATCACCATAGGTGAGACATCTTAATCTCTGTCAGCTACCGAACAATAGCCAGTCCGTGACCAGGCAGGGGGGCCAGATGTGGCTGACGGGGGCAGCTGCGTTCAGCCACCGTGCCCACTCCCATATATATACGACGGTCAGCAGGCCAGCATAGAGCATCACCCCACCCACAGCCTAGCCATGAAGAGCTTACTCGTCATCGCTGCCGCTCTGGCCTCCGCCACAGCCAGACCCCAGCGTCCTGACGGACCTATGGGCTCCGGACCTATGGGCTCTGAAGGCATTGACCCTGGGTCCGAATCCTGGACCGGAGAATCTCAGCAGTCCTGGCCGCAGTCGTGGACCGAAGGCAGCTGGTCACAGTCCTGGACCGGGGGATCTCAGCAATCTTGGCCAGAGACCTGGACCGAAGGCAGCTGGCCACAGTCCTGGACCGGGGGATCTCACCCGTCCTCCCACCAGTCCTCGCCAGAGTCCTGGACCGAAGGCAGCTGGCCACAGTCCTGGACCGAGGGATCTCACCAGCCCTCACCAGAGTCCTGGGCCGAAGGCAGCTGGCCACAGTCCTCGACCGGGGGATCTCAGCCGTCCTGGACCGGAGAATCTCAACAGTCCTCGCCAGAGTCCTGGACCGAGAGCAGCTGGCCACAGTCCTCGATCGGGGGATCTCAGCCGTCCTGGACCGGAGAATCTCACCAGTCCTCGCCAGAGTCCTGGACCGAAGGCAGCTGGCCACAGTCCTCGACCGGGGGATCTCGGCCGTCCTGGGCCGGAGAATCTCACCAGTCCTCGCCAGAGTCCTGGACCGAAGGCAGCTGGCCACAGTCCTCGACCGGGGGATCTCAGCCGTCCTGGACCGGAGAATCTCACCAGTCCTGGCCAGAGTCCTGGACCGAAGGCAGCTGGCCACAGTCCTCGACCGGGGGATCTCAGCCGTCCTGGGCCGGAGAATCTCACCAGTCCTCGCCAGAGTCCTGGACCGAAGGCAGCTGGCCACAGTCCTCGACCGGGGGATCTCAGCCGTCCTGGACCGGAGAATCTCACCAGTCCTCGCCAGAGTCCTGGACCGAAGGCAGCTGGCCACAGTCCTGGACCGGCGGGTCTCAGCCGTCCTGGACCGGAGAATCTCACCAGTCCTGGCCAGAGTCCTGGACCGAAGGCAGCTGGCCCGAGCCTTCAGGATCCGGTGCTGGGACCTCTCCCAGCAGATAGGCCGTCAATGGAACACAGCCCCCACCCACCAGCGCTACTAACGAACCTCGGTTCTGTCCGTGCGTTCGTTGTCTGCAATCTTGTTCCCCAGTGTCGTACTCTGCTGCTGCCCGCGCGACTTTCGCATTGTCGACCCCTCTATTCCGTGCTTTGCTTGTGTGCAATAGATCCACCTTGCGGCATCCTGACTTGACTTTCTTGATAACGTAATGGTGATTTGTGGGATCAGGTTTTGACGGTCGGGCCAGATTTCATTCAGACAACACTAAGGCAAAACTAGGCTGGATCGTGCTGGTCACACATAGCTAATATGCTTACGAGATTGGGCACCAGACCAGAGGGCTTTGCTTTTTGCAATCGACATAATAAGTTAAAACAAACCTCGTTGCTTTCAAAGCAACCATGTTTGTGGTGCGTGCTACGTGAAATTGATGACAACCGCAATATTCCTGAACTACCTAGGATCGCATCGTGAGGCCAGATGCCTCGGAAAATGTCGATGCCTCGGATTATGTCCTAGCATTCTTACGGGTCGAAAGGAAGCGGTATGGAGCCCCGTCACCACGCGTTAGTGATTCAGCAAAGGCCACATAGCGACCGGTGTGGATAGATCAACGGACAACTAGCCAGAGCGAACGGACGCAGTGCACGACGGCCGTGTTGCTGCGCTGAACGGCACGAAACACGACCCTCTCGCGCTCCAGTCTGCCTCAGAACACTGTGGCCAACTGGTGTCACACTATTCACACCAGGCTGCCTGTGGAGCTGGAATCGTGACATTACGGCGGCTGCTTCAGGACATTCCGAATCATCTCAGTAAAACGCTCCAGTCCTCTGGGGGGGCTGGAGGGCAAACCTTACTAACAGCAAGCTCACGGCCGAATCGGCAATTTTACAACACAAACTTGGATGTGTTGAAGAAAGAGCCTTGTTCTATATCAGCCTCACACAGCACAAACTGTATCCCAAATTCACATCGTCCAAGCTCGTCTACGCAGGCTATTCGATACAGACCGTCGTAACCCTCCGGCTTGGCTGCGTTTTGGCGTTGATTAATGTGAGAATGCACGACCGCATCAATCCTCGCTTGCTCACCAGCCAGTCCTCTGAGCGTTGTCGACTGGCTGTAGCTCGCCAAGCCAATCGTGCGTGGCTCGGCACATGGGAATACAGCCGGGCACCGTTCAGATAGGCACAGCTATGTGTTCCACTCGAGCCCTTCGAGTAGAACACATCACTAACGAAGACATCTTGACAAAGGTGCGCTTGTGTGGTGTATTACACAGAATCATTTTTACAGGTAACCTGTACGGTGCCGAATGCGAATGTGACGTGGGTGAATGGAGGCATGGGTGTTCAAGCGAAGAACATTGGCTGGAATGCAAGCTGGGTAAAAGACAACCAGAAAAAAGCGCGAACGGCGCTCGTCTCTAAGCTGGAATAGCACGATCCTTCCGTCTGTACGTCACCCGGAACAACGACCAGCAAGGTGTGATCGATTTCCTGCTCCTTCGCCTGGGGTCTTGGCCATGTTGGGTCGTCGTAGTCGTAGTGTAAGCGGATGGCAGACGCCG